TACCCTTGCTTATCGTTTGCTCAATCGTTGCGACAACACATTCATACACATCCATGAAACGTGTCAAATCAAAATATAATAGTACAATACTACAATACAACCACCACACTCTTTAAAACAAAAAAATTAACTGAAATATACTGATAACATACAATTACAATATAAAATTGTTTTAATTCTCAGTCCTTCCATATGCATAAAAATTATGCTTTGAGATTTCTAATAGTTTATTTGTTTCGATAAAATTTCTTAACAAGTATCTTTAAAAGAAGAAAATAAGAAAAAAAATATATTTATAAACTAAAATTAAGTTATGAATAAGTTAATCTGTAAAAATTCTTTTTAATTTATATATAGGTTAGTTTTAGTATATAAAAAACTTATTTTTTCTTTTTTTTTTCTTATAAGTACTTATGAAAAAAATTGAAATGTTTAACTTGTCTATGGTATTTTATACTAATGTGTTAGTTTAACATGTTAGATTTGAAAGTTCGACGTGTGTATGATTTGAGATGTTTGATTCTTCCAATCTACTCGCTCTGTTCTTTCGTCTTCACCATTTTTTTTTTGTCAATCTTGAGGCATTAGGTGGTGTTTGTGTTGCGCGAATCGTTCTCTTAACTTCTTTTTTTACTTTGCTTCCGATCTTGTGCTTTGAAGGATAATGCATTTAGGAGGATAATGTATTTAACGGACCCTAATCTTTTTACACTAGTTCTTTTAATAACTGAAGCAGAAAAATAATCTTTTTAGATCAATTATGGTAAAAGTTGATCTAATTTTTTTTAAACAACAATTCAAATAATTGATTTTTCTTTTCATAATCTATATTTTCTGAATTTATATCGTGCTCGAAATAGATGTAAAACAACATTTTTAAAATTATTTAAAACGTCTAAAGTACAATAGTAAAATGATAATTGGATGTCAAAAAAGAAAAACCGTATAAAGAGTGGAAATATACGACATGCACTTGTAAAATCAACCGTGAAAACTTTCTAAATTCAAAGTTGTTTTGAATTTTGATAATGCATAACAAAAAAATATTTTCTTATGAACCAACTATTTCCTTAAAATGTCACACTAGGGAAAATTTTGCTTGTCATATTTGGTTCTTCACGTTCTTAATTTGAACATGGCCTTAATCCTCGAATTAAATATTAGCCTTGCTTCTACCAAGCAACACGATAAACCTGTAAAACGTTGTCTTGTTCTCTTCTTAAGCCTTGTTTATATGCATATATAAAATTGAATGTGCAATTTAAGATCATTATTATGAGGAAGAATCAACTCTTTCATCCAAGTGGCATGTCTACCCTTTTTATGGGTAGATTGACTATGTTTCCCACCTTGTGAAAGAGAGATACTTGATGGATCATTCATAGGTATGCTAACAGAAACAAAAATAAGAAACATGGACACAATATCATTACAATAACAAATAATATAAATAAAAGTAAAAAAAATAATTATAAACGATGTTTAATACACACATAATTGATGTGTGTCATGCACATTGTTTACTTCATTATCCACATTCAAGATTGACATGCATGTAGAAGAAAAAGGAGTATCAAGTGTTGAATCTTCATGGTCATGAGTATTATGCATGTTTTTTTTTTCTTAGAGAACTACTTGTCATTTTTTGTTAGTAGGATCAATGATATAAAACAATTTGTGCTTGATATGCCATGATGAATGATGACATATCGCCTAACATAGGACCTATCACAAGGACAATGTCAAGGAGGATATAAAAAGAGTGGACTGAGGTGAAGGAAAAAGACATAAGCTCTTATTGAGTTATAGGCTTGTTATTTAGTCCATTTTCTCTGTGTATATTTTTTCTTATAAATATTTTCTTTTATTCTTGACTTTGTATTTGGTTAAATAGTATAAGAATTATTGTATTTGTATTTATTTTAATTTTGGGGTGTAAATAGTAGTTTAGAAGGGTGCAACTAGTAAAGGTTATTTTGAACTTATTGAGTTTGGACGGGCAAAAACATTCGTCTTGGCTTATACTTGGACGTCAACTTGCTTATGCAAGTGAGTTGGATGTCCAATACATGAAGAGGATAACATGTTCCTAATTCATCCAAGTGGCCAACATGTTACATGGCCTTATCTAGTCACACCAAACATGTCATGCCTCATGACAAACTCCTATTGACTCTTCCAAATCTAGGATGATGACATGAGTCACACTTTCTTTACCTTTTCACATGACAAGCTTTTATTGGCTATTCTAGATCTAAGAAAGTGACTTGTTGAGCTTAGGTTGACTAAATGGGTTAAGTAGACTAGGGTTAATTGTTTTGAGTTCAAGTTAACCTAACTTAGGTTATTTTTAACCTAGGTTAGAGTAACTTACACCACAAGCTACTAAACCCTATATATAGGACTCTATTTGTATATTTCAGTCACTTTTGAGATTGATATGAGATATATTGTTGAGTTTTCTCTCTTTCAAAAGTCTTAATTTTCTTCCTTGAAGAAATCTCTCCTTAAGAACTTTTATCAAGGAATTTTCCCTTGTAGCAAGTTCAACTCTCTTTTGCTTATCTTCTCTCTAGAAGTGGTGCACCATTCCTCATCATCCTCCACCATTTTTGGTCATTTGAAGCTTGAATCAACCATGGAAGAAGATAGGGAGTACAACTAGAAGCTAGTGGAAGAATTACACCATTCAACTCTAAGCTAGTTTCATCAATGAATGACTCTTTTTAGAACTTATCTTCTCTAAATTAACCAAGGTAAAATCTAAATCATCAATCTTGACACCAATCTTACATTTAAAAATCAAAACTCTAAAATTAGTAATTGATCATCCAGATGTCTTCAATAATTCTAATAGAACATAAAATCAACCTTAATAAACAACTCCTAAAGGGCTTAAAATGAGCCCCAATTGAGCCATCAAACATCCCTCAAATCAGTTCCTACAACCAAAAAATAAAAATACAATAAATCCAAATCAAACCCCAATAAAAATGCTTCTAAAGAGTTCATAAACAACCCCAAAACCAACATTAATCAACCCCACATGAGCACCTTAAATAATTTTTTAAAATACAATATAATAAATCAACACTCAAAACAACACTTATGAGCATATAGAATACCTTAAAATATCCTCAAATTAGACAAACCAAAACCTCCAAACAACTTCCCATACTCGTTCACACATTTATGCTAATAGGTTATATGCAAACTTTAAAAAATTTAATCCATAAGTTGTTCATCAATTGTCCACAAAATTCAAGACTATAACAACATATTAAACAGTGGAATCGACGTTGCTAAAAAAAATAGAAGAAATTGAACTTGTTAGGCATGAGGTAGTTGAAAATCGTATGGAGAAAAAGAAAACGAAAGAGAATGACGATCAGTAGGCCAAAACAAAGCTCACTAGAGCATTTGGGGATGAAAACAATTGTTCATGCAAGGTCATCAATGTTAGAGAGCAAAAGTTACGAGAAAGAATAATGAAAGCAGAGCATGAATTGAAGTCACGTTTTGATCCCTAATAAAAATGTTTTATATGTTTGATTATGCAAATAACTAACATAGGAAATACATTTCATGTTGGGTGTAATGTCACTCAACATAATAAAATTATATGTGTATCTTCATGTTATATAGAGGTGATAAAATGGGTCAGTTCGACCTATTTTGGTCTAATTAGCCAATGACTCGCCAAAAATGGGTCGAGCTGGCCCATCCCACTATTGAAAAATGAATTGAAAATTTTGGTCTGTCCCGCCTAAATACGGGCTGGCGAGCTAGTGGACTAGCCTGCATTGTATTAAAAAAATGTAAAAAAAAATTGCAAAAAAATTGTCGACGAGTTGGCGGACTTAGCGGGACTATAGTTTTAAAAACTAGACCGGTCATTGAACCGGTTAGGATACTGGGTCAGTGGGTCAAAGGTTGAACCGGTGGGTCACTAATTGAACCGCATGACTCAATTTTTATTAATTTTTTTTAAAAATATTCATGTTAAATATATTTTATACTTATGAATTTTAATAAATTCATATCCTATTTTAAATTTTAATTTTCTTCTTATTTAAAATTATCTTTATTTTTATTTTGTATAAAGAAATACATAAAAAAAAATTACATGTTAAACTATATATTAATACAAATTAAAAATATAAATAATATGTACATATATAATATGCTTGCAATTGATATCACAAAATAAAATATGTAATATCTACATAGATATTATATTATTAAATATATAATTTAAAATTAATAATATGTTATAAAAGTTATTTAAGTTGCATATATTACAAATAAATACATTAGAACAAGTAGTCATTGTTATGTTTAATAAGACTCTTTGTTCTACCATTAAAAGATTCAATTCTCATTGTTATTTTTGTGGTTTGTAGTCCCTTAAAAAAAAATAAAAAAAACTGTGGTTGAACCAGTTTGACCCACCGGTTCATTGGTCGGACCGGAAAATTGATCAGTTCAATCCAGTTTGAAACGAGTCAAATGCATAATCGATCCAACTTAAGGTTCAGACCGGTTGAACCACCAGTTCTCGATTCAACCGGTCCAACTGGCCGATTCGATTCGGTTTTTACAACACTGAGCGAGACGGACTTGTCAGGTTGAAGGATTGGAATAATAGACTCGATCTGCCAATTTTTGACGGCCAATGGGTCAGCCCCGGGCCACGACCCATTTTATCACCCCTAATGTCATATATCTTATATAAGTCACTTGACATAAAATGTATTTTTTTTTATATCGGTTAAAAGTTCAACCAACATAATAAAATCATCTAAAACTACAACTTCATTGAGTCACTTTTTATGACATGTTATGAACTGGCCTAAAAATCTGACAAAAAAAAAACCTTGCACCTGTGTATGTAGGTAAAGAAGTAAAGAGAAGTTATTGTTACAGTGACCTGAATTTGTTCTATAGCGTTGCTTGTTTTGCAGTCATCAAGATGTACTGGTTTAAATACAAGAGACCCGAATCTTTTAAACACGTGATTTGAAGTTTAATTTCATCCACAAAATATTCTACACGTTATCACTTGATCATGTGCCATGTCCTTACATTACTCACCTACGAAGATGCAATTAAAAAAGTACTAGCATCAGTACCATGTTCGATGGCGAAATACAATGAAAATTGAATAAACAAGGCAACTTGGTCTGCAAAATAATGCTAGGCAAGGCAACAATTCCATTACACGGTATTTATGGTTAATTATAAAGAAAGCGTTAGGTCTAAATCATCATCACTTGGTTTCTTGTTATTTCCTTTTTGGGCCTGTGGCTCTGCAGCTTCTTCCTCCTTTGTTTCTTTCCCTGAAGAAGGACCTGCACGTTGATGTAAAACATTTAGCTTCTTCAACTCTTCATCATCCATGAAATCTTCTGCTTCAAACGTTGGTTTCCAGACACCCTTTGCTCTCTCTTCCTCTTTCTCTTTAGAGAGCCGATCCCTCGCATTCTTCGTGCTCTTTATCAGGGCAAAGAATTTCTCCATCTGCTCCTCTTCACTTTCTACCTCCTTCTCCATTTTCCTCTTTCTTCTTTCTCCTTCCATGCTCCGATCTCACTTTCAACTATGCCCTACAAACAAACACAACACCAAGGTTGTTCTTATAGCATACTACGTAATACACATGAAGAAATTAATTAATTAATTAGTATTATTATACTCTCACTCACGTACTCGCTAATAATCCTTTTACTTTTTTGTTCTTCTTGGAATGGTCGATGATGAACCACAAAAAAAAAAAGAAAGGAATTGACAAAGTGAACCAAAATTAAATTAAATAAACACAGTAAACGTGAAGAATTCCAGAATAGAATAATATGTTACCTGCCAATGCCATAGTCAAGTATGGGATCCTCTAATCTAATAATCAATTACACTTCAATGCGTGTTGATTCAAGAAACTGAATGAATGGCACGAGAGGTAATTAATCGAAGACCGTGTGCTTTTATTTGCTAATTGACAAAAATGGCCACGAGGCCAATAAATGAAACATCGTGATTTCATGGGGGTACCCTGGTAATTAACGAAGCACAAGATTTCTAGATATATATATTTTGCGTCATCCCACAATATTTTATAATCTTACGATTGTATGCGTCAAGGTTGCTTTATAACAACCTATGTGGCAACTTTAGGGAAGATGGATTCATGAGAGGAATACTTTAGGTGGGTCATCATGGATGCAGGTGGGGCCCACAATAAAAATATCATAAGGTGAATTCAAGTCCCAATTAATTTTTGTGTCTCAACAAGAGCGACTTCACTAGAATAGCATATGGCCAACTAAGGAGATGATAGTATGTCGTCGTCTTCATCGCATATTTTCTTTTATTCTTAAAGCATCATTGCATGTGTGGGTCAAACGATAATTTTTTAAGTAATGTATAAATAAATATATTTTGAAAAAGATTTGTAGATGGAGTAACTTGGATTTTTGCGAAAATCAAAGAACAAATTATGTTCCACATTGATTTATTATTGTGGAATAATTATAATAACGTCATTTGAAGTGTAATGGTTTGGGTGGTTGGGAGAGAAAACGGAGGAGAACAAGGAGATGAAAGAAAGAATGAGTCGGCGCTTATGAAAATTACCTTCCTCCTAATGGGGGCAAGTTATTTTTTTTAATTCATTTAATAACACATTAATTGTAAAAATTATAGTAGTAACTAATAAGTTTTAATTTTTTTAATTAAACTCACTTTCTATTATTATAAAAATATGTTATATATATATTTTTTATATTTTAAAATATATTAAAATATAAATATTTTAATTACATTTAAATTATTTTTTAATTTTAAAAAAATTTAATATCCACGTATAAAATGATATAGAATTATAATTCAGTTGTTAAATCAACAAAAATTACATTTAATTAAAAATCATTAAATAATAT